TTATTATGCCCAAGCCATGTACTACTTTACAATTGGAAACAGCAGATCATGTGGACTCCTCCAAGGCCCACGCTGCAGGCACCTCACAGGTTCTTTCCCCTGTCCCCACACCTAGGCCCTCCCCTATCCATTCTTTGGCCCCATCCTTGGTGATAGTCACCGATCCCATCTCCCCCTTGGAAGACCATTTTCTCAAGAAGTATATGCATAAAGGAAGTAAGGATGACATGGCCGTATCCAAGGGAAACAGAGCCAGTGATGAATTCTTACAGCAAGTACTTGGTTTGAAGGAATCTAATCTTGAAGACATCAATGAAATTACTACTCATTCAGATCTTGATGAACATGAGGTTATGGATCAGTCCCCTCTTGAACCATTTGAACTCAATACACCAAAACCTGGGAGCCCAGGCCTTCTCATTACTAGAGGAAGGGGGTATGCACACAATTTTGTTAAGCTATCTTGCCAGACTAGGGGCATGAAAGCAGCGCTAGATGAACCCCCTCCAGGCCCCTCATGAACCCGTTATTTTGGAATATTAGAGGTGTAAGAGGCTCATTACCCAGGCTTCTTTCCCTCATCCAAATTCATAGGGTTCATTTTCTGGCTATTCTAGAGCCATTTGTTAAAGAAGAAAAAATTATCTCTTATGCTAAGAAATTTGGTTTCCAGTCGTATGTAGTGGCCTTAAACAACAAAGCTTGGATTTTTTGGGATGAATCCCACCTTCATTGTGTTAACAGAATCTTGGGTGATCAAATTATCAGCATCCTCTTTCACAATAATCTCCTCAACAAGGATATCCTTATTTCTACAGTTTATGGATTACATACTGAAGGGGAACGCCAATCTCTCTAGAACTCTATGATTAGCCATACATCCTCAGATACTCCGTGGATTGTTGGAGGTGATTTTAACATTATTTGCAGCCTAGATGAACACAGAGGACCTATCTTGCCTAGCTTTAAAGGTATGGAAGATTTCTCTTCTTGCATTGCTTCTTGTGATCTTAATAACATTTCACCTAAGGGCGGAATTTTTACGTGGCATGGGAAAAGATCCCAAGGCAAGGTCTGGAGGAGACTGGATAGGGCTCTTGTGAACACATATGCAATGAACTTCTTTGATGACATCACTCTTAACCACCTTAGCAGGAGTGGCTGGGACCACAAACCAATCCTCCTTAAAGGTGCTATAAACTCCTACAGAGGGCCCAAAATGTTCAGATTTCTCAACTGCTGGGTTTCTAATGACACCTTCATTCCTATGGTTAAATTGAATTGGGAAAAGTCTAGCAATGTGAATGGAATGTCAGGCTTTGCTGAGAAACTCAAGATCCTTAAAACAGCGATTAAGGAGTGGAATGTTTCAACGTTTGGAGATATCTTCGAAAATGTTAAAATGGCTGAAGAAGAGGCACTTGCTAGATAAAACTCCTTTGATAATAATCCAACTGAAGACAACCGAGCTGCTGCAAACCTTGCATCAGCCAAACTTCTAAATGCATGTAAAAGGGAGGCTAGTTACTGGTTTCAAAAGTCTAACATCAAATGGATGAAGGAAGGAGAATCCAATTCAAAGTTCTTTCACTCGGTGGTCAAGGGAAAGAGGGCTAAACTCAAGATCACAACTATAAAATATGAGGAGGGAGTTAACCACATAGATAATAACAAAATCGCTACCCTAGCTGTTGAGCACTTCACCAAGCTTTTTGAAGAGAGTCCTTGCAAAGCTCCTGAGGAAACCCTGAGATTTATTCCATGTACAGTTACAGCCGAAGACAACAACTCTTTTAAAAAGCTTCCTTCTATGGAAGAAGTGAAACAAGCAGTGTGGTCGCTCAATGAAAATGCAGCTCCTGGTCCTGATGGCTTTAATGGTTTTTTTCAGGGCCTGTTGGGATATTATCAAAATAGATATCCTTAAGGCATGTCAGGAGTTCTTCTTAGGAGTTAAGGTTCCGGTTGCTTTTGCAAGCACAATTATCACCTTAATTCCCAAGGTAAACAGCCCCATCAAATGGAAAGATTTCAGGCCAATATCCTTATCAACATTCGTGAGTAAGATTAACTCTCGTATTCTGGCAACGAGACTTAGCATAGTTATCAACAAAGTCATTGGGCCTGAGCAAGCTGGATTCCAGCAAGGGAAATCTGTTGATGATCAGATTCTCTTGGCTCAAGAGATGGCTCACCATCTTGAACGCAAGGTTGAAGGTGGCAACATCATAGTTAAGATTGATATGGCTAATGCGTTTGACAGAATGAGCTGGACATTCTTGGAGGCTGTTTTGGAAAAAATGGGTTTTGATGAAGATGTCTCAAACCTCCTCCTTTCTAATCTCAAGGCAACTAAAATGTCTATCTTATTCAATGGGTCACCTAAAGGGTTCTTTAGCATGAAAAGGGGTGTTAAACAAGGTGATCCACTCTCGCCGCTTCTTTTCATTATTGGCAGCGAGGCTTTAAGCAAATCCATCAACTGTTCTATTCAAAACCATTA